ATTATTTGATTTATCGTTGTTTGAACTATTTTTTATTAAAAAAGGAGCAGATATAAGAATTTTTTCTTCTTCTGCTACATTTCATTTTATTTTATTTGTATTGTTTTGTTGTGTGAAATGTTTGTTTGTTTGTTTGTTTAATGAAATGAATAAATGAATTGAAACAGACTTGTCTATTTATAAACAACAAACAAACATGTTCTTCATCTTCACCAACATGATGAACAACAAGCAGCTGAAGTTCAGGTTTATTTGTATTTCAACATGATGACGTCATTGTTTAGTTTAAAAAAATAAAGTTTTTCTTTGTTAAACAAAGAAAAACAGTTTTTAGTTGATCCTGAGGATTTGTTGAGTTTCAGGAGAAATATTTAGAGAACAGAACCATCAGGAGGTTTCTGCAGGTCCAGCTGGGTCACAGCAGAACCAGAACCTTCATCTTCTCCATGTCTAAACATTTACACACCACATGTAAACATCTTCATCCTCCTCCTCTTCCTCACAACCATCGTCATCAGTTTGTTCAGCATCAAGTCTTCGTCCTGCTGCTCCTCATCCTCACAGGCCTTACAGGCTCCTGCTCTGGGTCCTGGTCCAGTCCTGGTCCAGTCCTGGTCTAGTCCTGGTCCAGTCCTGGTCCAGTCCTGGTCTGAGACAGCAGACAGTTTAATGTAGGAACCTTTCCTAAAATAAATCCAAGCAGATCCACCTGTCCTCCACTTTCAGCTGACTGTCAAAAAACTCAACTAAACCTGTAAACAAAGTAAACAATCAATAAATCAGTCAACCAACCAACCAACCAACCAAACAAACAACTAACCATCCATCCATCCAACCAACCAACCAACCAACCAACCAACCAACCAACCAACCAACCAACCAACCAATCATCCAACCAACCATCCAACCAACCATCCAACCAAACAACCAACCAACCAACCAACCAACCAACCAACCAAGCAACCAAGCAACCAACCAACCAACCAGCCAACCAATCATCCAACCAACCAACCAACCAATCATCCAATCATCCAACCAACCAACCAACCAACCAACCAACCAACCAACCAGCCAACCAATCATCCAACCAACCAACCAACCAATCATCCAACCAAACAACCAACCAACCAACCAACCAACCAACCAGCCAACCAATCATCCAACCAACCAACCAACCAACCAACCAACCAATCATCCAATCAACCAACCAACCAACCAACCAACCAACCAACCAACCAACCAATCATCCAACCAATCATCCAACCAACCAACCAACCAACCAACCAACCAAC